TTTCAAGATATGGGAAAAATCTTTTTGGAGATTGTATTCACAAAATTTATAATCCTTTCCATGATGACATACTGCCGTGTCATCTGCATATAAGGAAATCTTTGTCTTAGAATGGAGTTGCAGGTTACAAATATCATTCACATAGAGGCAGAAAATGAATGGCCCTAGTATATATTGATCCTTGTGGAATTCCTGATTTCACAGTTAGAAAATTACTCTTGCCCCTTGCAAGAATACACATTGTTGATTATTACATAGATAGGATTCAAACCACTCAAGTACTCAAATACCATACAATAACATTTTCTTAATAATCAATGGATGTGGTATAACGTCTAACGCCTTTTTCAGGTCAGGAAAAAATGGCTCCAGTGACCAGACCTTTGTCCATATTGTCAAGTATACCTTCGACTATTTCAGTCAAGCATGTTAGAGTTGAATGCCCTGGTCTAAAACCTGATTGCCGTTCACTTAACAAAGAATGTTTGTTTAAGTAAGAGTATATCTGATTGTGCACTGCTTTCTCAAATATCTTTGACATTGTGGGGAGAATGGAAATAGGTCGGTAGTTAGTTAATTCCATTTTGTTTCCACCTTTATGAATAGGGGTTATTTTACCAACTTTGAATTCATGAGGAACGTACCCTTTTGACAATGAACAATTGAACAATACTGTTAAAGACTCTAACAATATGTGGGGCAGCTATTTTAAGTAGCTTTGGAGGAAGATCATCGATACCAACTGCTTTTGAAACATCAAGCTTGAGTAGTTCTTTTAATACAAAACATTCCTCGATGTCTGTAAATTTGAATTCATGTGCTGTTTGCGGTAATGTTTGCAATGCATTTATATTGAGATGAGAATCATTCGCTCCTGTTAGTTGGCTTTGATTATTATTGAAACTTTCATTAAACAATTCTGCTACTTTTTCTTTGTCTACTACAATTTGGTCATTTACAAGAATTTTATGATCAGAATTGGGAGTAAGTTTTTGAGTACTTTCCAGGATTTGTTCATATCATTACCATTTTCAATGCAAAGATTCTTATAATAATGTTTCTTTAACTTCTTGTTCAGTACATTTGCCCTATTTCTGAATTCTTTAAACTTTTCCCAGTAGTCTGTAGTTCTGTGTTTATCAAATTTGCATTTAAAACAATTCCTATCTCTTGCGATACATAAATATTCATTGGTAATCCAAGGTGACCCCTAGAACGTTTTCTTTCTGTGACATACGGTGCATGAAGATCACAAATGTCTTTGAAGTCAAAAACTTACATTTGAAAATATTCCACATATTCTCAACATTGTGATTGTTTAAGTACAAATTATCCCAGTTTATATCTTTAACATCATTTTTGAAAGAATTTTCATTAAAGTTTCTAAATGAACGGTAGGTATTCACAGAACATATAGAGGGCGGTGGTTTTACTTTCAATACAAGGTATATCAATAAATGATCACTTAGACCGATAGACCGTGTGCCACTCTCCAGTGATTTCAAATTATTTCACACAAGAATTAGATCAATAAGGGTTGTACTATTAACGGTTATACGTGTCGGGGTCCTTATCAGCTGAGACAAATGCATATTGTCACTCAGATCATGTATCTGCTTTGAAAGATTATTCTGAGTTAACATATTACAATTTAATTCACCTAATATTACAATATCATTTGATAACATACATATATTTTCTAAATTAATTCTAGGTTATTGAAAAAAGCACTTCTACTGTTAGGTGGACGATATACAACTCCAAGATACTTTGGTTTGTGATTGTGTAGTCTTATCTCTAGCCACATAATTTCTAACTCAAGGTCTTCAAGATCAGGTCGTCTAATATATGATATATTCGTTTGTATAAAACATCCAACTCCTCCTCCCTTTTCGTCTCTATCTAGTCTTTCAAAATGATACCCATCAATTTGTAACAATGAATTACAAATGTTTTTACTTAGTCATGTTTCTGACAAGGTCAGAATTTCGTACGGATTTTCTTTCAAATATAATTGCAGATCATCCACCTTATTTCTAAGACTACGAATATTTCAATGTGCAATTTTCAATCCTTTAACCTTTGGAAAGTCATTTACAGAGGTACAGGTATTCGTACTTAAGTCAATGTCTATATCAACAGAATGTGTATGGTTCAAGCTCACATTTCTATCTTTTACTATATCCTCAACATTCCAAAGCGGCATTTCTAGGGAAATACATTTGGTACATTGCCAATTGTGAAATTGTTCAGTTTTATCATCATATTGTTTGGAAGATACATCTCCACATGAAATATGTATCCATTGGTTACATTTTGTACAAAGTAGCGCTTTTTGATTATACTTTACGGGTTTCTCACATATATAACAAGGAAAAACATTGACCATGGTTAAAATGATGAAATAGGACAAGAAAAACTTGAAACATAAATACAATTAATTTGAAATAACGTTCGTCTCCTTCTCAATTAAATTGAATTTAACGCTTGAAATTCTCAACATGAGCCAAGCTGGCATTAATTTGAGATGATTTTATCTCTAATAATACCTCCATTTTGTTACAAAGAGTAAATTGTTTCGAAATGGCAAACAGGTACATACAAGTTCATGAATAATTTCTCCAGCACCACCATCTGTGGGTGGAGGCTCAAACACCGTAGTTCAAATTATATAGCAGAATCTCTCATATATACGCTCAGTTTGTCTAAGTCTTTCTCTCTTGTGACATTCACTTTTCCTTTTCCTTCTTTCAGTTTAATGCAAATACGTCCATCTTGTGTCCATGTCTTATCAATGATTTTCTTGAATTTGTTTCTAACCTTCCAGAGTAGTTCTTTCCGCTTCTTAGTGAGGCTTTCATTGATGTAGACATGGTGATTATTCTCATCGCTAAGATTCTTTAGCTTGAATCGTGCACTGTAGACTTGCTCTCGGGTGCGATAGCTATTGAATTTAACGATGATATTCCTGGGTGTGTGGCTATAGCTGGTCGTCCCGATGCGCGGTTTCGTCGATCCGTCGCTTTCGGGTTTCTGCTGCCCAAGTCGATGACTACGCTCGACGTCATCCATCTTGATATCGACATCGAGGTCCTCCTTGCAGAATTGTATGATTCTGGAATCGGTATTCTCATTCATCCTCTCAGGTACACCACTTATCACAAGGCATGTACGTCTAGAGTACTGCTCAGCATCATCATTCACTTCCTTTAATTCATCTATTTCCTTTCTCATTGCCGCCATCACATCCCCTTGATGTGCAGAATTAAATTCCAACGAGTCCAAAAATTCTTGACAAATTGACTCCTTTAAATCATTCAGAAGCTTTCCTTGAATTGTTCGAGTGAGCTGATTTACAAATTCGTCGTCTTTGAGAAGACTTTCCAATACTTGCCGAATGGCTGAATTGAGTTCAGCATCGGGCTCTACGGAAGTAAATTCTGATCGACGAGGAAGTAATAGCTTGCCATCGCCTGAAACCAAAAGGTGATTATTTGCTTTATATTCCACATCTAAAACAATTTAAATACAAAAAGGAAAAGACGTGTATGCATTTACATAAAAGACACCTAGGCCCAAATTCACACCAAAAAAGATTAACCCAACCTCTTGAGGGTGCGGTGCGCGCATGTGTTTTCTTTAATTGCGCTCAATGGTAATGCGCGCTTAATTACGCCTGTTTTAGTGCGCTTTTGGATAATCTTCAGTGAAAGTGCGTTGCCCTGTGTAGATAGTACCTCCATCTTCAGTGAAAGTGCGTTGCACTGTGTAGATACACTGTCGCTCATAAAGGTAGAATATTTTAGTTTTACCCCAATTTATGGAAGTATTTAAAAAATTATTTAAAAATAAAAGATATAGATAATATAATACATTCTCAGATTTTATTGAATACTAATTTGCCAATGTGTGTTTTGCGGGACTGCTAAAAGCATGTGTATGTTACTATGCTTATTAACTAGGGGACCTACGCCCTCAAGTCATAAATGACAGTAATGAGGATTAATACCCCACAAAAGGGCACTAATATAGCACATCGACACGGTTTTGATCCTGGGGCCTCACAGTTACGAGGCCATTGTTTTGTCACTGAACCATGACTGTACGCCGCGTGGCTAGGGTAGGGGGCAGTTTCCATAAATAAAAAAAAAAGAAAATGCAATAAATTTTCAATAATTTATTGCATTTTACCCCGGTCCCCAACATAAACAAATCCTTTGGACGGCCATCCTTTATGGCTCAAGGCATGGGCACACAAAATATTTTTTTAATGAACCACCATATATAACCATTAGGTACAACACTTCCAAAATAAAAGTGTTTCATTTTCGTCAGATTCATAATCATATTACAGAGGGAGCGTGGAGAGGGACTTATGAGAGAGAGAGAGGGAGAGAGAGAGAACGAGAGAAAGAGAGAGAGAGAGAGAGAGAATAGAGAGAGAGAGAGAGAGAGAGCGAACAAAATCTAGTAATTTTTTGGATAAAATGCACTAAATTATTGAAAAATTATTGCATTTTCGTTTCTTTTCTTTATTTATGAGAACTGCCCCCTATCCTAGCCCCCCGCTGCGTACAGTCATGGTTCAGTGATAAATCAATGGCCTCGTAACTGTGAGGCCCCAGGATAAAAACCGTGTTGATGTGCTATATTAGTGCCCTTTTGTGGGGCATTATTCCTCATTACTGTCATTTATGACTTAAGGGCGTAGGTCCCCTATTTGATAAGCATAGAAGCATACACATGCTTTAGCAGTCACGCAAAACACACGCTTGCAAATTATTTTTCAATAAAATCTGAGAATGTATACTTCCATCAAGATCTATTTAATTTTTTAATTGTTTTTAAAATAATTCCATGAATTGGGGTAAAACAAAAATATTCCACCTATATGAGTGACAGCGTAGAACTGTTTTTAAGTTTATGTAGATTGACAAATTTATAAAAGAAAACCACAATAAACCATTTTTGTTCAATTCTTTTTAAAATATAGCTTTCAAAAAGTGCATATGTTTATGTAGAAGTCTTACGTCTAAATTTAAGATATCGAATATTAAAATAAACATTCATCATTTTATTAGTATACTTAGTATGCATTGGTTAAACAGTGCCATGGGTGCATTCACTTGGCATAAATGAAGTTAAATAATTGTGTATATTGTTAGTAGGAAAATATATCATAATGGGTAGTTTGTTTTCAGAAAAAGGCGGAAGAATAAGTAAAATCAGCTGTAATCAAATACCAGTATTAAAAGACCACATTAATATTAAACTGGCACATAGAAAGTTTGATGAGCTAACCCAATGCATCATCAAAGAAGCAAACAGGTAGATGATTTCTTGTTCTTCTTTTCAGATGGAGGGAGCGAAGAAGGCTTTTTTACTGGTGATTTATCACTCTGCTTTAGTGATGGTTGTTCTGCAGGTGGTGCTACAGGACCTTCCTCGACAGGTTTGGTGTCACTTTCACTGGCATCAGCAGAAGATGGTATGTCTTTTGTCTCGCTTGTCTCTGCGGTTCCTTCTTCTTTGGGCGTAGCTGTTGGTGACTGTTCTTGACTCGTCAACTTCATTTCATCCTGTTGTTCTGCAGTTGGTGCTTCAGCTGGACTGTTTTGCTGTTGTGGAGAAGATGCCTGTTCCTGTGGAGTGGCACTCCCCTCAACGGCTGCAGGAACTTCCTCGACCGGCTTGGTGTCACTTTCACTGGCATCAGCAGAAGATGGTATGTCTTTTATCTCGCTTGTCTCTGTGGTTCCTTCTTCTTTGGGCGTAGGTGTTGGTGACTGTTCTTGACTTGTCACCTTCGTTTCATCCTGTTTGCCTGGAGGCACGACCTGAAGCGTCGGTTCCGCATGTTCCTTGATCTTCTCGATGAGTTCTTCAAACTTGTCATCATCAAAGCTGGCCTGAGTGGTCTTTTTGGTGAAGTCGATGTAGAGAAGCTGGGTGATGGTCATGCTCATTGGACCTTCTGGTGGCCATGTCATCTCTTCAAGCAGCAGGGGAATGATGGGTTTACGGAGTGCGTCAGAGAGACTGATCTCTCTCCTGCAGTTGGCGGAGAGGGAATACTTAGGAGTGACGCAGGAAACGACGACCTGGCAAATAAAATCATATAATATTAAGATATAAAAAATCATTTTATAATTTGTTTCTTACTCTCTCTCTAAAAGAAAATAAGATGATCACTGAAGTGACTCCTCTGGAGAGTGACAATGTAGTGAAAATAGAGTGAACATTAACTCTTTTCTCCTTAGAGAGCAATCTAAAAATCAATCGATATTCACTCCTAAACAAGCGATCACTGACATCACTGACTAAGAAAGTGAACATAGAGTAAAAATTCACACTTTTTTTAAAGAGAGTTATACATTGAAATATCCCCACAATGGAGAAGAGCCGGCCTTTATGCACTGAAATTCTTGATCCACAAAAGCCCACGTTTTAAGTGCACTTATGACATGGTTTTGTAAGAATTGGAACTGAAGTATGAGTCAGTCCAACGGATCCTAGCCTAAATATTTAATCGGTGATTGCTAGTAGTTAATGAATAGTTTTACTACCAACCCATCACTGCGTACAACACATACTCTGTATTTTAGTCTTTAAAGAGGAACATATGAAGGAGTAATTTTTATCTTTACCACGTGGTAGAGCATTAATATCATACCTTTGCATTTCTCACTCCTTTATCAATCTTGGAGTAGAGTGGATCCCCACCACCCATTTGATTGATATCCAGCCAGCAGTGGTAACCCAAACCAGTGAGACGCGAGAACAGTCTCTTAATCTCAGGTTGCTTGTCCCATTGGTAAGAGATGAATATAGATGGAGCTTCGGTTGACTCCTGATTTTTTGTTAAACAGAAGAGAATACAAGAGAAACACATTTTAAAATACTGAGAAGAGTTCGAAATATATTCACATGAAGGATACAACTATGCAAATAGTTAACTGGCCCGGGAATTTAAAGCCGTTAAAGGACGTTTGTAATTAAGATAGTGGGATGGGGGCCAAATTATTTGGCATAGAAAATTTGAAGTAGAACTTAGATTAAGCGACAACACTAATGGACGAATAACAATGAAAATGCATTATATAGGCCCAGGGCAACTATCTGTCATGCGACCACCCGGTTATGTGGGATACTGATGTGGGATAACATGTATTACCATGGTTTGGTTCTGCTGCGCATGTGAGCTTTTTGCTTCCTCGGATACCTTCTTAACAGTAACGGGTTTATCTTCCACCTGAGGAATCCAGTCACGATATTCTGTATAAAGAAAAACGTTACGTCAGGATGTGGACAGAGGATTGCTGATGAGTAATGATTGGGTTAACTGGGTTGTCTTGTCTTTCTAGCGCTCAGTCATTCAAACGGGTTGTTTTATATTTGCTGTTTCTTTTGAAGCCTTAGAACTTGGAAACTGCAGTATGATGAGCTAAACTTTAATAGAAACAGGTTCAAAGTCTTTTTTGCACATGCTATTAGAAAACGATTTGTTCTCTACTTGTTCATGACAACGTCTTCAGCAGTTTCCAATGGTTTCATGTGTATTGATTCAATAATGCATCTTAGAGTCTTAGATACTGCAGGACAATGTATTTCTGTCTCATATACCACACCATATCCACAACCTCATTAGTTCAGAATAGTATTATTTTAATCAATTTGGTTATGTATGGCATATCTTAAGGTATGGAACAAATGATAGAAGCTGTAAATTACAGTAAAGACACATCCAAAGATTTAATGGAACTATCTTTTATTCTCGTACCATCGGATATCATGCTTTCATCAGGATTCGCATGATAAGAAATCTGTCCCAAAAGTTCCGAAAACTTGGCGTCCTCCCAGAATTTCTCTCCTCTCACGTATTCCTTGTCGTTGTAGAACTGGATGAAAAGAAGCTGCGCAAACAACATACTCATAGCTCCTTGAGGAGGCCACTGAGTCTGGTCTATGAGGATAGGGATGATTGGTTTGTTCAGCAGGTTGGCGAGGTTCACCTTAATAACGAGAGAATTAAACCAACGGAAATGAAAGAGGAGTCAAAGCGATTTGCATTGGTCTTTAACCTAGCCAAGATTTCAATTTGCCAGTACATTCTCGATATGCGTATCATGCATAATTAAGTTCTGTGTTTACCACTGACTCGGGGCAGATTGTGTTCATTCACGATGAGCACGTAAATCATGACTTTCGATGAATTTGTGTAATTTCTAACTGTTGTAAAATGCTGGCAGCAATAATATAATCATGTTTGTTGTGCTAGTTTGTCATGGTGGCAGCGGTGGGATATACAATATAAATAATGAGTTCGAGGCATTTGACTAGGTCACAAACCGCCTCCGACGATTCAAATTTCATGTATGGCATTGAATTTCAAAATCTACAATGGCCAGTTGCTGCAATAGATACTCTGTAGGCAGACTAAACCTCATCATTAGTATAAAATATAGCCCTTTAATAAGTTCCAGGGTTCTATTGAATTGAATTAATCCTCTGATGACACTGTATTCCATGAGGTATTGGACTGAACAACTGAAACCATGCAAAATTTGATGCACGATGCCACATGACAAACTTTTCAGCATTCCTTGTCTTACCTCCTTGTTGCAATTCTCCGAGTTTGAGTATTTCTCAGTCACCATGCAGAGTACCAGTTTGGATGATCTCATACCCTGGCTGATCTTAGCAAACAACTGATCTCCTTCACCCATCTGACCAATGTCCATCCAGCAAGGAAACCCAGCCATCTCTAGATGCTTCTTGATGGCCTTCACTTCGGGCTGGTGGTCCCACTGGTAGCTCAGGAATACCGTCGGAGGCTTATCTGACTCATCCGGAGAAGCCTGGGGCAATAACAGTTCTGGTCAGTAGAAAGTTAATGTTGATTTTAATAATACAAGTTTCTACTCGTGATGTATAACATTATATTTAGACCAATTTGTACCAATAAATGGTAGATATACTGAAATTGTCGTCTCTGGGGATCCTCAGACTATTCCCATGCATCCGGCGGCGGGCAGATGATTAGTAAACGCATATTTCTAAGCTTCCGTTTACAAATGAATGACCACCAAAATGAAAATCAGTATATACAATCATGAACCTGCAAGGAAATGTGTTGAGAGGACTCTCTCTTGAATTCCTGTCTCTGTAATATATTCCATATATTCCAAAAGGCCTGGGATGAAATTCTGGTAAGGCTACGACGTTTTTAACTATATTGATGTTGAGGTAGGGCCTTGTTCTAATATCAGACAATGAATTTGAATCTAATCTGCAAGTCAATCTTTTTTCTGTTTCAATCAAATTTTGTTCCAGTTGAGTAGTTCTTTGGTGCATCATTCGTTGTTCATTCCGGATGGTTCTATAGCTTTCTCGTACAAACGTTTCAAATCTTAAGTTGGCTCTTGAATCCTGACCAATCTCTGAAATAAATATCAAGTTTATTAGTTACCAAGTATTACGTGTCTAGGGACATTTAAACCTTGGAGTAAACCATTCTTCACCCTCTGAAATGTGAAAATCCATTTCTATTGTGTTGGTGTCAGAGGGATATTCAACGTTTATTAGAACTTTCACATTGTTTTAATGTTTCTCTTGCATGGATGTATGGCTAGGACAGATGAGGTAGGCCGCATTTGTATCAGGAAATATTTTTGACTAATCACTTAGAAGATCTAAATAGTTCTAGGTCGGTCTTTACTTGTGCTACGAAGCTGCAAATTACTTCTCTCCAAGTGAATCAATGTTTTGATAAAGCTAAACATCGATGAACTGTTACAGATAGTGGTCAGCATTTTAAGTGAAGATGATACTTTGTATAAGTTGGCCGACGTCTGTTTCAAAATGAATTGAGTAAAATCCAGGAAATGCGCTCTATCGGTTTGGTATATTGCAAATTTTAGAAAGTGTCCGACCATTACGGTTTGGATGGTTTCAGTGATACATCTAACCCTTTGATATTTGGAGGACACACAGCCTATATTCTGATTCCCTATTGCCAACTTTAAACAAGGACAAATCTTTCAAACCTGCTTCTTCTAGAGATTGCGTGATGATTTCTGTCGCATCAGTTCTTCCCATGTCTTCCAGCGCACTTAGTATGGCGTAGGCGGCATCACTGCTCTTATGAGTCGTGTACCATTCAGCCAGGATAGCCATGGTAGGATCAGGTGACAGGGCCCAGTTGCGAATGTCTTCACCAGAGTAGCCGAGACGAACGGCCAAGAATCTCCAGTCATGCTCATGCTCGGGGTTTAACATCTTTGAGACGTCACGTGACCATTTTGGCGCGTTGGTGATCGTCTGCAATTCGAAGAGAGTTCAAAGGTTGTTTACTACTTGGACAATATATGACATGAATATCATTATTGTGACCTTTGACACATCAGCACAAATTTATTTGATATGACTCAATGGGAGATGGACTCAATGGACTCAAAGTCTGTAAGAGAAAAAAAAACATTTTATCATCATCAACCTTTAATTACCTTGTGGTCAATCTCCTCCACATTCTCCACCGTTTCATCCACGACCTCCTTCAGCTCATCAAGTTTCTCACCCTGCTCGTTGACCTCGTTCTTCACGTTCTGAATCTCATCACCCTGCTGGTCCACGGTCTCGTCGATTCTTGTGACGTCGTTTTCTGTGTTCGTCACGCGAGAATCCAAGTTGTCGATGTCTTCTCGCTGTTCTGCCACTTCTTCACTGAGGCCATGAAGACTAAAAATGAGATTCAAAGGTGTATATCATGATAATGTTTTTTTTTCTAAATTCCTTTGCTGCAGCCTCTATCGTATGGCAGATAAAAGTATATTTATCTTTCTCTCTGGAAACCATTAAGTTCATGTTGATCAAAGGATAGGAATTAAATAATGGCTGCCGCAAGTGCATGACCATTGCATTGGATCAAATAACTCCCCTACAAATAACTTGCTAACAATCATCAGCAGTCTTAATTATCTCACAAGTTTTACTCATCATGCTAATCAAGGATCATATTGACGTACCTTCTGTCATCCAGAAAATCTATCATGGACTGGACCATGTCTGGTACGCCCATCTGCTGACATGTCTTCAGTTTCTCAATCTGCGGTCGATATACATCTAGACATTCCTTGTGTGCCTGACCGATCCTCTTCACCTCCATTAAGATGACGCTTATCCACATTGGATCGATGCTGTTCACCTTGCCGAAAAAGATCTTCAAACACCTCTCTGCCTCTTTCTGAAGAAAGCAAAATAATACCCACAATCATAAAAAGTTAGTTTTCTGTGAGCAGGGGTGTGACTTCTTCTCTCAAAATATAATGGATTTTTTTTTTGTTAACATGTTTTTATTTTCAGCTTACATCATGCATGTACCTAAGACCAAATCTCTCTCACTTGATTTTTGAAAATCTTTATTGTAAACTCACTAAACTGAATGTAATATAGATATCGGGCTGCCTTGTTCAGTATTTTTAATAAACCGTTCAATAAAATAAAATTAAACAATTATCATGATAATGATGATCACGATGAACATGATGATGATCATGATAGTAATGGTGATGAAAATGTTAGATGATGATAATAACGAAATTGTTAATGATATCGATGATAATGATCATGATCATGGTGATGTTGATGATCATGATCAGACCATGATGATGATGATCATGATGACACTAATGATGATGATCATGATCCTGACAACTGATTGAAAAAATGAGGGGACATTTATATAGCATATAGTCTCAGCTACAACATACTCAAAAATCAACAAAAACCAAGCAGAAACTATATAGAGAAAGGGAAAAGTTATATAGACATGTAAACAAAGATGATCATGATGATATTGCTCGCGAAAGACGGGAATGTAGAATCCAGTTTTGAGAAAAATTCATGTCCCATAGATACTGCACGCAAAATGAGAAAATTGACATGCCTCCTATAATCGCAAAAATACGCCATGATGCCTTAGTTTGTCAAAAAGAAATATAGTGGCAAACGCATTTGTAGAAAATTGTCTCAGCTAGAACATATCCAAATTTGGAGGAAAATCGATCAATATTTACAGAGATACAATCAATTTTCTAAAAATATGCTGACGTCATAATAAGCAAATAGAAATTTTGAGTTCAGGGGCCATTATGATGACGTCATGAGTTTATTGAGGGTCAAATGAGACATGAAATCATATCTACAATTCACACTCTATCCATATATGAAAATAGAATTAGGGGTCAATTGGCATCTTAAAGAGCTACAATGGATTTTGTATAGGCATGTTTTTGCCATTATATGCTATGTATTACAAGAGCTCGCACGAACGGACATGTATTTTAAACGGACGCTCATTCTCTTATTAATGCTCAGAAGAAGATGAACAAGGTATCAAATTGCTTGGCAAAATGTGTCAAATATGATGACGGAGAAAATTTGGCGATTTTATGTTGTGAAATGCAATTACGCGCGGAAATGCGCGCGCATGCGCGCTTTTTTTTGCAAAATGCTTAAAAAGGCCTAAAACGTATGCAAAATGAATTTAAGACGATTTCGAGCATTTTTATTTTTTTGCGCGCTCGCTGACGCGCGGACGTACGCATACGCGCGCATTTTTTTACTTGAAATTGACCGGACGGATATTGACCTTAATCATGATAAATATGAATAAGAAATGCCTTTCCGTTATGAAGATACGATCATGAGTTGTAAGTACCAAAAAAAAAAAAAATGGCGCCTGGATGACGTCATGAAGACTTGATGACCTTGAAAATGTTACTGTCACGTCTCATGACAATGACCTATGGCTGTGCCAAAATTGAACGAAATTGACAAAACTGATCTTGAGTTATCGTAGGCACAAAAAAGTGGGGAGAAATAAATAAAAATAAATAATAAAGAAAGAAAAATCCTGACGAAAACAATAGGTGATCTGTCTACGACAGACCACCTAATAAATAAATAAAAAAAGAAAAATCCTGACGAAACTAATAGGTAATCAGTCGATGACAGACCACCTAATAAATCGCCTCTATGTTAAACCACTTACGTGCCGGAGGTTCTTCTGCGATAATCGTATGCATTCCAGCATTTGTTTGAGTTTTGAGGGAAGGAATTTTGATATTGGTCCCTTTTACAAAGATCTATTTCTAGTAGACAGAAAATACAGCAGTTTTTAGAAGTTAAAACAAAAATATTTTGAAGCCAAACGTTATCTCAGCGGAGCGATATATCCAAAAATGAAATAGTCAGATTCTAGGACTATCGATGACTAAATACCTTGTTAACTCGGCCAATGCTGGCAATTATCTTACAGGCGGAGGCTACAGTGTAAGGAATCTGTTCCCAGGCTTTAAGACACCTGTTTAAATGCTTGACAAAATGTTCTGCGTGACCAATGGAGATGTTGGCCAGAGTCATGAAAGCCATGTTCGACAGAGAGGTGTCACAAATGTCCTTAAACATCAGGTCAATATGCGGTACCAGAACCTGAACGAAAACAACAAGGATATTAGGCAAGGTATTATTTTGACATTTTAGGTATTTTCATAGTGTTAATCTTCGAAATGTCCATACATCAAAATACGCCTAAGACTATTTCTTCATATTTCTTTCGTATAACATTTATTATAATTGAAAGTAGACTGGACGAAGTATAGTAGTAAGCTTAAAGTCTGACATTTAACTTGGAACGGTGGAACACATTATCCGGGCAGCATGACATGGGGTCAGGCGCGTACGCAGGATTTTTTCAAGGGGGGGGGGGGGGGGTTAACATTTATAAATCGGGCCGAAAATTTCGCAACGACTCAGCCAGCCGCTGAATAAGCGGGGGGGGGGGGGGGGGGGGTAGAGGACACTTTTTTTATGGGGAGGGGGGGGGGGGGCCCAAACAAAAAAAAATCGGGGGGGGGGGGGGGGGGGGGGGGGTAAGAGGACATTTTTTTTTTTGTCTCGAAATTTGAAAATTTGACATTTTGCTCCGTTGGGGGGGGGGTGAGGTCATCTTTTTGAGGTCAGCCGTGGGAATATTTTTTTTTTTTTTTTTTTTTTTTTTTTAAAGATAAAAAAAAAAAAATCCAAAGGGGGGGGGGGGGGGTTACACAATAAAAAATACCAAGGGGGGGGGGGTTTAACCCCCCAAACTCCCCCCCCCCCCTTTGTACTCGCCTGCATGGGGTGCACAGGTTCAAAATCAACCTAGCGAAATTTGTCAATAGCCCAGTGCTTTACCTATTGAAATTTGCGATCATGACAATGACATATTACATAATCCGAACATGATTTCTACAGTGCGTCCCAGAAAAAACGAAACCGAAGATTATCGATGTTTTATCATAACTTATTCACATTTATAAATAATAAATGACACATGTTTGGAAAGCTGAGATCCTCCTCTTTCATTTGAAGCCATTTACATGATGCATATTCCATGCATGAGTGATTTAAATGAATTTGAAGAGAGGAAACCAAAAAATCATTTGGCGGACAGTATCTGAATTTCAAAGAGAAAATTACATTTCTAGAAAGTTGGGTCCTTGCCCTTTCATATGACTCAATCAGGCAAAATGAGCAAGGAATGACAAAAATATGTTTGTTTAAATTAGTGCTTGCATTTCCATAATTTTATGAAACGAATTCGTTTTCACTTGCTGCCTGCCGTAGCAACTAGCAGAATTGACAAAAGACTTAACTCCGTTTCGATGACAATCAGCCATGCTTTAAGTCTCCCATCTACACCGATAATTCGTTTTTTCTGGGACGCACTGTATAAGGCATTAAACAAAAGATGTTGTATTGCCCTTTAGGGGCCAACATATGGGTCGATCGGTCGGTCGGAAATCTTTTCTTTTTTTTAACCTTTTTTTTTTCTTCTCCCTCTTTGGGCTTATATTTCTCAGTTTTGAATGCTTTAAAACATATTTGTGTATTCATTAAACATTTTTTTCTTCTAAAAAGCGGTTTAAAAAAAGCCGACCTTAGATTACAAGATTTTGGGGTCGGTCGCAAAGGGCAATACAACATGTTGTTTTTGTTATGCCTAAAGGCGATGCAATAAAGTATTGCAAAAGCCTTCGTCTTACATCTGCATTTGTCTTGCCGACTTCATCAAGCAGCATGTAGAGATACATCTTGTCTCTTCTTCTCATATGTTCCATCTTCTCAAAGATGCGGTCTACTCTTGACAAAACCACTTCTGGTTTGTACTGGAATATGCCTTTCAAAGCCACTGTACCAAGACATAGAAACAAATTTGGTTTGGTTGATAACCCAAAAGTATCACTTCCACATTCTTACACTGTGTGATCCACAAACTCCTTATGTTACATTGTGTGTTAGAAATGGTTTGTATTCCAATAAATTAGAGATACATAACACCATCTGAGCAGCAGCGAACCAAGGCGTGTTGTGGACTGTCATTACAGGGACTACCGGTGTGACCAGCTGTCAACAAAATACATCAGTTTAGCGCTGAATTAGTTATTCAAATTCATAAGTTAGCTTTAAACGTGTTTGCGAACACCCTTTTCACAGTCCCTCTAAAGAGCTATCAGTTTCTGTTACTCCTGTTGAGACGAACACTGCGCTTGAAATCTCACGGGTTACTCATAATGTTCAATGGTAATATAAATATTATATTCTTCCTGTTGGGAAACTCCCCGACCGTGTGGTTACCATCCTCTACATTAATGGTACTACTCTGACACCACCCTATGCCCTACTATTCTCTCACGCTGAACTTAACCCTAACCATTGTAAGATATCATAAGGGACAGGGGTCATAGGTACTACTGGTCCATTGATGATTTGATGGTTTATTCCACCTGACTGCTCAGAAAGAAAAAGGTGTGTATTCTTGTCCGGACGCTTGTAAACAACCAGGGGACCGATGGCTTGAAGTCCTCCCTAAGGTAATGACTAAGTAATGGTGATTAGTGCCTTACCAAAGAACACTAGCATAGCCACTTGGATACGAGACCACTGCTCTAACACTTAGCTATTTCGCCCCCTCAGTTAGATCTTACCAAAACGATGGACCTACGGGATTCTAAGGCACCAAAGGTAAAAACAAAACGAATACTACTCACTACTAGCGGTTTTTCCTTCGCACTTGTTGTCCAGATAAGCATCTGCTATGTCATCACCATACGGAGCCAGTAGTTCACCATTCTCGTAGACAGTTCCTATGGCATACGCGGCCACGTTCTTTAAATTTATGACGTCACCCAAGAGCAGCTTCACCACGTAAGGCAAAATTTCCTTGAAGATCTTTAACTTTTCAGTAATCTAAAGAAGATATCGATAAAGCAAAATGTATTTTCATACCAGATTGAATTATTTTACATTTGTGGTATTCAAGGCTTGTACTTTAATTTATAAACCTATGAATAATAAACAATATAATTGTCACAATTATTTCATGAAATGTGGTAAGGAAAAAAGATTCAAAGTTTATGGGCAACAGTGTACTCGTATGAGGTTTATATGCCGAGTTCAGACACTTTTCAAATGACAGAGTGTGGCACACAGTGGCCACATAGAGACTCACCGTGTGTGAACGCATAAGATTATGACCACAGAAGTGATTTTATGGGGATCATGTTCCCATGTGAAAAATACGCACACAGTGTGTTCACATTATCACTGTGGTCATCGAAAGAATCATAGGCTGAACGCATTACAATGTGATCACAGAGAAAAATTACGAACATAATATGCTTGTAATGTGAGTACACTACATCACGGTATTTTTTTACAGAATAGCTTGCAACACTGTGGCACTAACTGATAGATCACAGTTTGATAATAATCGCATTATAATCACAGCGATAGTTGTGAACCATTGCATAAGATCAAGAATATTATTCACAAATATGTCATGTGTCCACAATTTCACAATATCTTCATTGGGACATGGTATTTGAAAATGTGGATTTGAATGGATTCCCTATCAAGCGCTATGCAAATGTAATTATTATTACAGCGTGCCAACGTGGGTAAGCTTAGTTTGTTTACACTGTATTCATTTTGTGGGACACTCAAAATCAACTTCATAGACTTACACTAAAGAAGAATCCATTGATGATGTTATAGAGGATATTCCCATGCACTGAAAGGGACAGCACATCGCGTTCAAGCTCCTGGTCCATGCAATATTCCATGAGACTTTTTAAATGAGGCACGCTATATTTACTGAGGTTAAACAGGATGAAATATATAATTATATGGCATAGATGTTTATACAAACAACTACACCCTCCCCTCCCGACTATATCGACGACATAAAGTTGAAAGGACGATCCCTTTTCTTTTACAGCTTCTTAGATACAACATGATTGTTCCTCCAAAAACATCCTCTCCGGGACCTAGTTTTTGCCCCTGCCCTCTCTTTCTCCCTCTCTAGCTCTTATTTTTCTTTCTCTAGCTCTCTTTTAATTTCATTTCATTTGATTTGTTTTATCTTTCCACAATAATGATAAAAATGTTGGAGATTTAATATTGCACATATCCACCATGCATGGTGCTCAAGGCGCTCCAACTATTACTCCAGCTCTGCAAGCAAGGCAGCCGATTTCGGCGCTCACAGCATTCAAGGAAATCCTGCCTTCAGGTACACATTTAACACCTGGATGGAGAGTGGCAAATGTAGATTAATATCTTGCCAAAGGACATTAGTGCCGTAGCGGGACTCGAACCGCATACACGAGATGTATTTCGACATAATACAATTTTACATTGTAAATCTTTACATCAAACGGGCATGATATGAACAAGTCGACGCACAAGAGAATGCAATATTAGTATCACTTAATAAATTATATGAAAGCCAAGCTGCGTTAATTACCCAGCATGTTCACGGAGATAACTGCTAACGGCCCCTGCTAAGTACTTGTGGTAACAGTTTTCTTCCAAGTCGATGTCGTCTCGTCGTAGCCACTTGTCAAAGGCTTCGAGGTTACACTGTAAAAAATGTTTGTAAATTTTACAATCCACCGGCTGTAAAACTCGACGAATATTATTTTATAGTCTACGTCTTTTACAGTGAAAGGCCTGTAAATTAGGGTGTGACGTCATATAGTCTACGTCATTTACAGTGAAAGGCATGTAAATAGGCCAGTTTCGTAATGTATTCAGAGACCTTTAAATCGCATTACGTAATCGGAGGGTCGGACAAGCAAAGAACTCGCGGTGCGTAGCAGACTACACTTTGCGTGCATACCATACATGACTGTGTTCGCTAGGTGTGATTGTATCGTTTGTTTTTGCTATTTTGAGAGAGAGAGAGAGAGAGAGAGAGAAGAAAAAGGAGGCAGTTTCAAACTTGAATAATAAATATCTTTGAGATGTGATTTTGTTCTTCATACATTTGATCTTTAAAATCGCTGAGTCTTAGGCAAGAATAATAGAAAAGCATTGCTGGTACAGAACTAGCGATTCACATCTTGCAGCTAAAACTGTTCGGCCAAGTCCCCGGTACAGGCAGCGCACGATACCCCCTCAAAAAGAAGAAAAACGAGGTCGATGATACAAGCGACATTGGCTTGAAAGCCAGTGATGAAACAGAAAGCGAAGCACCAAAATATAAGTTAGCTAGCCGATATCGGTAATTTCCATTCAATTTTGCATTTACCTTAGCTTGAATCTGAGTACAAATTTGGACGTAGAAATGAAAGAAGTGATGAACTATTTTCCACTCGTTCGCACACACAGTCACCTCTGCTTGCAGAAGCGTGCGCGCGTACCACGTGTTCGTGTTCGTGTAGGCGCGATTCACATTTTCAAAATGAAAACAATTTTACGGATCAAAAAATGTTTGTGAAACGCCTCGATACGGACTATTTCAAGGCGGACGAGAAACGGCTAACGAGAAGCAAGCACTGACCGCAGAATCAATATTATTAACAAAAGCAACGAGAAATAATGACAATAAAGGTATAAGGTCTTTGTTAATAAAATAATATTCATAAAATAACATCGTCCGATGACAGAGAGCTAGAATAAGAATGATGACTAATGATAAACAAATAATTTTGAACGGAAAAAAATGAAGAAAAACAATGAACAAGGAAAAAAAAAATGATAGAGCAATGGAAAAAGGGAATAATAAAAGTAATAATAAAAAACCTTATGATGGCAAGGAAGAAGAATCAGGATGATGAATAATTTTATTGTTTATAATAAGATTAGGAATTAAGTTTGATTTTCATAAAATAAAAGTTAATAGTCTATTAGACAACAATTATGCCGGACCTTCGTTATTCAACTTCAAGAAGCAATTATTATTTTAAAAAAACATTTAAAAATAAAATTATTACATTTTTTATTAGATCTAGTCTAGACTTCTACTTTTTATTTGTTTATTATTTATATATTTTTTCTTTTTGTTCAAGTTGGTATGTTCTGTCTTTTTGCGTCGGTTTGACCTGTATAATCTAGTCACAAGTGGCTATCATGAGCTGCCGAGAGCTAACTAGAGGGGGGATTGTACTCGAGCTTCTCCAGGCCACATAATCTATGGCCATCGGGAAATATCAATCGAAAGTCTTCAAAACTCTTAAAAGCCTTCAGTTTTCGACGATCATAAATGCATGGTCCGCCATATTCTCTACTAGATAATTGAATACGTCATAGGTCCCAAAGTCAGGAATATCGTCAAACTTAAGGGAGGTATGTAACTAGTTCACTTAACGAAAATCCTGCCCGTTGTAATTTCCCCATACAGTCACGTCTACCGAGTGACACGGACCCCGTAGGTCAGGGGCTACGGGCAGGCTAGTCCGCTACTGCGGACGCTAATTTAACGAGTCTTTTCTCGGGTGTATACCGTAGTCGAAACTCCTCTTTTTCTTAGAAAATATTGCAGCTGCCTGAAACTCAGCTTGATGAATGGCAAGTTGGAAGACATTTCCGGCCAAAACAGAAATTCATATATATACACGCAGTTTTGATTGAAAGATATGAATGCAATTTAACGGCAAGAACCGACAATCTAATACACAATGCACATATTCAACATGGTGATTTGGCAAAGCTTGTCGGGCTTGGTTACAGTAACCGCGCATTACGTAACCGCCGAAACTGGCCTATTAGGGTGTGACGTCATATTTATCATGTCGACTACTCCGACTCCGATGCCAAAACTTTGTAAAATTTACTGGTCAAATGCCGTATAATGCGCGCTAGATATTGGCTTACGGTCATTTTGCTGTTTTTTTCGCGCGCAAGCGCTATGAATACGTACGCGCACGTACTGTACTCATCGAAATCCAAGTAAGGTTTGAGTTCGTTGACTGTACTGCACAGCTTCGTAACTTGGCAACGCGATACGCGCGATCGCGAGTCGAATATGCAGCGCAGCTAAGCCGTCCTGACACGAGCGAAACCTGATTCGTAGGTAAGAAATCGGCCTTAATCTTGTCCATCTTTCCAAAATCATTTTAATTTTTAATTACATTTTAACTACTATATGCTTTACGTCATTATTAAGATAATTTCTGAACAATTTAGACATGTGAAACAACTAGATCAATAACGACGTGAGAATCGTCATAATACGTTTGAGTAATATGTAGTGTAAATGCATGAGTATGGTATTAGAATGACAATGGCGACGCATATATGAATGATGAACTTTACAGCAGACACATGTAAGTAAAATCGGTCGATAGTTACTTGGATCTGACTTAGAGCCTGTAATGTTTTGGTCCTTATTTAGACAGCCGAAAGGACGACACAACAGCCTTCAATTACATGGTTGATAACGTGTGTGTATTCTCTGTTCAACTTCTGTACAGGTCATATTACAATACACTATACATTGTTCTTGTACGAGTAACCAATGACAACCAGAAAGTATGGAATGCTAATTGTGCAGTTGTTCAAGATACTACAATCCTCCCTACCTGGATTAAAACCTTTCTATAATGAGATAAGTCAATCACAGTGTAGCTGTTGTTATTTCTATGGCATGTTTGACATCATCAAACTGTAACAATCATTCATCAATGTGTTTTAGACCATGTAAGAACAAACTTTGGAAAAAACATCAAAACAAGTTGTAACTCATTTAGAGTATAAAACCAAACTTGAACATTAACCAAACTCAGCTAATTTGCACAAAGCCATGTATAGAACTCATGTACACATGTAATGGTTAAATAACTAAGTTGCATCAGACAAAACTTGCTACGGATAGCCAGTATTACATATATACACTTCAAACAAGAAATAATTCACTTTGTGAGATCATGCAGAGCTTATGCATATAGCAATATACCATCTAATAAAATGTGAACTCTAAAAGTTGTAAATTAGGCTTTTAGGAAGTATTCATGGTTGAAATAAGCTGATTATGTAGTGATATATTTTCATATCAACAGATCAAAATTACCTATGACCTGCAGAGGTCAATAACTGTTTGCTAGCATAAAAATCTTGTTCTTAGCACTCAAGTCTGTTTCAGTATAATAAAGCATAAAAAATGCAATTGACTGTTCTGTCATACATTGTAGGCATGAGGCAATAGCATCGAACAATATGAACTCAAATATCAAATATCATAGATTATAAAACATAGCAATCAGCAAATACACATGTACAAACCTTCAAACTGTGCAAAACTGATATTCATTCATAACACAATATAATGGCAACAAATAACACCTTTTTACAATTTCCTTTCTTCTTTCCCTTTTGAAAAATAGCCAAGTGTACAAAATATTTTCTTTGCATGAACGTAGAAAATTAAACTGATTCAATTGGAATTCGCTCTTTATAAAACCTTATAAATTACTTCCAACTCCGTAATATTGAAGAGCAATATTTATAAAACTGAACCAGATTTCTGGAGGCTCTAGTTTGTGTTTGTTTGTTTGATTGGTTTTTTTTTTTTTTTTTTTTTTTTAACAATTAAGCTATACGTGTTTACAAAGCATACTGAGTAAATGCAAATCTGTGATACACGGAAAATAATTTCAAACCAATAGTTACAACACTCTGAGCCATTAATCAAGTTACATGCAATAATTAAACTAACAGCAAAGAATAAAAAGATAATATGAAATCCACCCTTGAGATCTAATCTTGATCAGAAATGCAAACTCACATGAACATTATGCAAACTTCCATTGTGACAGGTTAGAACAATAATTTGTTTAAATACACATAAATGCATACAGTAACCTGAATAAAAAGTTTGCCATCAAAAGTTTTTTTTTTTTTTTTTTTTTTAAATGCAAGATTAAGAGTCAATGTCTCATCATTTAGTCATATTGTGCATTTCTCCAGTTTTCTTTGTCTTTGACTAGTTTATGAGTAATGAATAGACTGTGAACTAAACATAATCGCGCAACCGTGCTGGTTGTCGTCGATTGCGTCTAGGATTACGTCGCGGTTGCACAACAAGTTGTTGTCCTTGTGCATTATCATCACTAAGGTCAATTTCAATTTGATCATTGTTAGCAGATTGGTCACAGGGAATAGGACCAGTGTAAAGCTTGAAACGTGATGCGTTTCGCGTGATGTAGTGATTACCATGACGTACAGTGATTCGTGAACCTTTCTTCCTAACTACGTTGTATGGTGTGGAAAGGTACGGGGACTGATGTTTGCACACTATACCATCACGGCGGACAAGAACTGTGTCTCCTACATCGATATCCTTCTCGCGTGTTGTACCGTGACTATCCGCGTACGCTTTCATTTTCGCTTTCTTGCCACGATCGCGAGAGCGGAGTTGATTATCCGAAGTTCGTTCTTGAATGTCGGAGACGGGAACTATAGGCTCAGGGAGGCGAGTACGGACAGGTCTGCCAAACAGGAGTGTGGCAGGGGGGACACCAGTCGTGGTATGCGGCGTGGCGCGGTAATTGCGAAGAAATCTGTAGAGCTCTTGCTTCCACGATTTGTTTTGAGCGATGGCAGAGCGATAGGCTTTCTTCAGTGTTCTCATAAATCTTTCAACTTCACCGTTCGCTTGGGGCCACCTGGGGGTTACCCTTCTGTGCTTGAAACCCAGGTAGTCGGCAAAGTCAGCGAATTCACGACTGTTGAAAGGAGGCCCATTATCCGTACGGACGATATCAGGAACGCCGAAACTTGAGAAAATTCGGTCTAGCTTGGGGATGACTTGCTGAGCTGAAGTAGATGAGACAATTTCAACCTCGGGGAAACGAGAATAGTCATCTATAACAACAAGCAGGTGGTCACCTGACGGGAGATCAGCGAAATCAATGCTAAGTTCTGACCACGCTTTTTGGGGCAGAGGGGACATGCGCAGAGGCTCTTTGACATGCTCGATTGTGTTAGACTGGCATGTGATACAATCACGAACAATTTTCTCTGTCATCTTGTCAATAGAGGGAAACCACACTTTTTCACGGATAAGACTCTTTGTCTTTGTGATGCCTTGATGTCCCTCATGTGCAATATCAATGATGCGTTTACGAAGAGACTGCGGGACTACTATGCGATGTCCGCGGAGGAGAAGAGAATTGTCATCCACTGTCAATTCCTCGCGAATAATGAACAAGCTCTGGAGTTCTGATTGGTTTTCAGTAGAGTTCGCAAGAAGGTCATGCCAGTTGTTGTTCTTGATGGTGCGAATGACGTGCTGTAGGACTGGGTCCTGTTTTGTGGCTTCAGCGATTTCGGACATTGATACTGACTTCGGAACTGCATGATGTGCCACAAAACTAACATGAGCTTCCGCCATGGATTGATCATCGGATACGCTCATCACCGATAGCTGAGGATGTCGCGAGAGGTAGTCAGCGGGGTTATGCTGACCAGGACGATACTGGACGGTGTAGTCATACGCTTGCAGCTTCAGGATCCATCTTTCAAGACGGAGCGGTGGCTTAGCATGACAGTTGTTGAAGAGCGATACTAGCGGCTTATGGTCAGTTGTGACTACAAACGATCCACCATACAAATACACATGAAAATGGACAATAGCCCATGTGATGGCTAGGGCTTCACGCTCTGTTTGCGAATATCGAGATTCAACGTCTGTGAGGGCTCTGCTTGCCAACGCGACAGGAACCGTGTTCTCCTTGTTATGCTGAACAAGAAGTGCTCCCAGACCATGAGGACTGGCATCAACGATAAGTTCAGTGGTGCTGGCCGTATTGAAGTATGCCATGGTGCATTGTTGCGAAACTCTTTGCTTGATCTGAGCGAAGGCGTCGGCTTGGGCAAGACCCCATTCCCATTCACTATCCGACTTAGTGAGATGGCGAAGAGGTGCTGAAATCGAGGCCAGACCAGGGATGAACCTGGCACAGTAATTAACCATGCCTAAGAAACTGCGGACTTCGGACACGGTGCGAGGTTCAGGTACCGCTCGGATGGCTTCGATCTTTCTCGGATCAGCGCTAATGCCATTGGATGAGAAAACGTGACCAAAATATGTGACACGGTCAGCAGCAAAGACACATTTGTCCTTGTTCAAGGTCAGGTTCACCTCACGAAGGCGTTCGAGTACAGCTTTGAGGCGAATGTCATGGTCCGCTTTGTTGTTCGCGAACACAAGAATATCATCACTTATATTCAAGACACCCGGTAGGTCCTGAAGAACAGCTTGAATGGTGTGCTGAAAGATCTCAGATGCAGATGCGAGCCCGAAGTTGAGTCGTTTGTACCGAAAAAGTCCGACATGAGTTGAGAACACTGTGTACGGACGAGACTCTTCATCAAGCTCTAGCTGGTGGTAGCCCGAGTTGAGATCCAAAGTGCTAAATGTTGTGGCACCATTCAAAGCAGACACAAGATCATCAACGGTTGGCGTGATGTGACGTTCGCGCTTCACAGCTTTGTTGACGTGACGCATGTCAACACAAATGCGGATGTTATCACTGTTACGCTTCGGGACAACAGTGATCGGAGAAACCCACGGAGTAGGTGTATCATGTACCGGTTCTATGATATCAAGTTCCTGCAATCTGTCAAGTTCCTGCTCCACTCGCTTTCTCATGTGGAAGGGAATCCTTCGGTAGGGAACTGCTACAGGAGGAACGGATCCATCAACATGAATATGGCATTGGTGATCTTTCAGTTTGCCAATACCAAGGAAACGATCCTTATACGACTGCTCTAGCTGAAGATTGTACGTGATATGAAGGAGACCAAGTGCAGTGGCAGTGCTACAACCCAGCAGTGTATCACCACTGTGCGTGACAACAAATATCTTTGTTTCCACTGTTTTCGATTTATACGAGACAGATGCGGTGAATGTTCCAACAACATCAAGCGGGACTGTGCTTCCATACGCATACACAGGAACGGAGGGCGCGTCAAGATGAGGCCTTGGTGTGATCGAACGATACGTGTTCTGACTCACAATCGTTACTGAGGAACCAGAATCGATTAAAGCTGAAATTGAGATCCCGTTGACCTCAATCTGAACAAACGGTCCGTTGGCTGAAGAAGAATTAACATTGAAAACATAGTCCTTTGTTTCAGCTTGCTCTTCCTTACTATGCTGAGCAGGTTGGTGATCACGCTGAGGCTCAGGCTGCGGAGAGCTAGTACAGCTGCATTGACATGCTGCTGTATGTTCAGTATGAATTGCGATAGAATTGGACTTTAATGGTCTAGATAAACAGTACTTCTGGAAATGATTCAATTTTCCACAAGAATGGCACGTAACCCCTTTTGCCGGACAGGGTTTATCTGCGGGATGTGGGAACCGACCACCACAATTCCTGCATGTGACTTTCTGTCTGGTCGCTTGCTGTTTTCCACAAGTGCGAAATTGGCGTTGGACAGAGTTCGGATTTGAGGGCTTGTCATGACGCGTAGCAGCGACAGTTGATTCTCGAGATGTAGCACTCTCCATCTCGGCTGCATACTGATCAGATTGCTCGAGCGTGCGGGCAGTATGAAGAAGTTTTTCGAGTGTGACAGTTTCACGAAGTGCGTACCTCCTCAAATTTTGCGATGTACACCCAAACACGATTTGGGATTTGATTTCCGCAGTTTTGTCCGAGAATTGACATGATGAAGCTAACTTCTGCAAACGGAGATGATACTGAGCAACAGTTTCATTGTTCAATTGTTTACACTGACGAAACAGATAACGTTCATATTCCACATTAACAGACGGAACAAAATGTTTCTCTAGCGCTTTAATGGCAGCAGAGTAAGATGTGGCTGTGTCTGGAAGTGTTTCAAAGATTTCCTGCACATCAGGACCGGAATAGTGCAGGAGCAACGCTCGCTTCTGGGCATCGTCTGTTACAGCAAATGCAGTGAAAAAGTTCTCTAGCCGTTTCACGTATTTTCCCCATCTCACACCCACGGTCGCGAGATCATCATGGCACTCAAAACGCTCAAACTGGGGTAAATTCATGTTGAAATGTTCTCAAAGTAACTTACGCAGTGACTCGAGGGACTGTGTCCATGAAAGTTCAGGTTCATGACGAAATCACACATCTTCGTCGCCAAATGTAATGTTTTGGTCCTTATTTAGACAGCCGAAAGGACGACACAACAGCCTTCAATTACATGGTTGATAACGTGTGTGTATTCTCTGTTCAACTTCTGTACAGGTCATATTACAATACACTATACATTGTTCTTGTACGAGTAACCAATGACAACCAGAAAGTATGGAATGCTAATTGTGCAGTTGTTCAAGATACTACAGAGCCTTTTTTGAAGATGGGTGATATGGTAGCTTGTTTCCAATCTTCAGGTAATTCACTGTCCTTCATGCTCTGTTGGTAAATGAGTTGAAGTACAGGTGCTATTTCTTTGGCTGCTAACTTCAATGCAGCATTGGGAATATTGTCTGGTCCAGCTGCCTTGTTGGTTTGGAGATTCTGTAAGAGTTTCTCCACTCCCTGTACGGTGATGTTCACATCTAATATTTCTTGATGGGGACTATTTGACAATGTTGGCAGTAGCGGGTCTTCCTGGGTGAAGATACTCTGGAACTGTTGTGCTAACACTTGGGCCTTTGAGCTGTCGTCAACTACAGTTACGTTGTCAACCTTAAGTGCGTGGATACCAACACTATCTCTCTTGCGGGATTTGACGTACTTCCAGAACTTCCTTACGTCATGAGATATAGATAGCTCTGATATGTACTTTCTCCTTGCCTTACGTAGTTCCCTGTCTACTTCTTTCCGGACGGTCTTGAACTTGTCCCAATACTCTGGTTTAGTGCTGTTTTGTCTTGCTTTGATGTAGTAGCGTTCCTTTCTTCTACAAAGCCGTTTGTGTTTCTGGGAAAACCATGGTGGTTGGAACTTTTTCCCTATCCTTTTGCTGGGGACATGTTTGTTGATAAGAGCAGTGATGGTGTTCTTGAAGAGGCACCAGTTCTCGTTAACCGAATTCTCTTCAGGCTTGCTGTTGATGAATTCTGTGGCGGATGTTCGGATGTCACCTTTGAAGGCTGCTTCATCCACTTTGCTCCACTGATACACTGTTCTGGGAGGCCTTGCCGAGATGGAGAGCGTGGCTTCGATTTCCATCATAACTATGCAGTGGTCTGCTAGAGGTGTAAGTGGATAGACATCTATAACATGTGCAGGATGAGTTGTAAAGCAGAGGTCAAGAGTGTTCTCGGTACCACTACTATCCTGCCTGGTTGTGAAGTTGACCTGTTGCTCTAAGCTATGGTCGTCCATTAAATTCACGATCTGTTCTTGAAGGCGGCCCTTAGGGTTGGTGTTGTTTTCAGACCAAGTCATATTTGGGATGTTGAAATCACCACCCAGGATGATGTAGGGTGTTATGATCTCTTGCTTGATCTTCTGTAAGGTAAGGTCTAACTGTGGGAGGTCATCCATTGCGGTCGGTGGCCTGTAGTAGCAACCGATGAACCTTCTCTGACTTCAAGGTATTTCGCACCATACCTGTTCGCTGTTGTCCTGGGTGAGATCTGGTCTCTCAATTATTGGTAGGTGGTTTATGACTGCTATAAATACTCCACCTCCTTCCGTTTCGTCCCTGTCTTTCCGTACAACATTATATTGATTTGGGAAGATCTCCGAAGATAATATACTTTCATTAAGCCATGATTCAGTTCCTAAAATTATGTCAGGGCATTAATCTGTAATGAAGCTTTGAAGTTCTGCCACACGTTTCTTAATACTGTGAAAGTTGATGGTTGCAATTGACAATTTGCCTAGAATAGGTTTCCTTGCAGTGTTCTTATTCCTGGTTACGTTGTTATCAACATCAGCAGAGGGGGGATTATCTTGCGGGTTTCTCTTGTCAACACTTGTGTCCAAATAGAGTGAGTTAGATATGTTCATTAAGGAGCATAGAGGGCAGTACCATAGTTCATCTTGGTTTAGTGGGCCCATGTATTACATCCACAGCATAGCATAGCTTTATCTTGATTTTTAACAGAACGTTCACACATAACACATGGATATTTTGGTTTGCGTCCCTTCTTAGGTGGGCCTGGGTTGGGTTCAATATCACCGCTACGAGCTCTAACATTTACTGTCTTGTAAGAGTCTATCTTGATTTTTGGTACACGTTGTGCCAGATGCAGGTGAGACAAGTATAACACTATGTCATGTACATGAATACTACTAGTCATATAATTCAGGTAATTTATTCTAGCAATAAATTTGTTGACACTAGTACTAGATATAATTGCAGATGTAGTCACCAAAGTCGTATCAGGCCTAATAATAGGCTCACAGTTACTAAGTTCATCATCATGAGAAAGATCAACATCAACGAACACATCAACATCATGATCCAGATCAAAATTTTGGCGATGCCAAGTCGACAATGTCAATGGTGGAGAATTGGTAAAACAAATCAGAGCATTCCTACCGTAGTGGTGGGTGAATCCAGTCAATAATCCAATTTGAAGGCTATCGGACTCCGTACCTCCGTAGTCTAGGTTGATTCCGTGGTGTACAGTCAATGGTGTGTATAATTGCACGCGTAGAAGTAGCTAGGCGAGTGCCAAGCCGGCGACCGTGTGATACAGCATGGTGCAGGCGCGGATCCAGGATTTCTTAGGGGGGGGGCCCAAATTTGAAATTATGCGAGCCAAATATTGGTACGTAATAGTGACCAACAGTGACGTAATGCGGGGGGGGGGGTCGGTGCAGGGAGGGGCGATTTCCCCCCCCCCCCTCCCTCCTCCGCGAAACGCGGAAGCTTTGACGTTTTATTAAATTATTAGAGAAAGAAGACGATTCGTTGTACCATTCTCGAAAATAATTCTCGTCTGAATTTAATTTTTCCCCTCCCGCGCAGAGCGCGGAAAAAATTTACGATTTATTAAACTATTAGAGAAAGAAGACGATTCGTTGTCGAGTTCTCGACTCTTAATCCTCGTCTGAATTCAGTTTTCCCCCTTCCTCGTGAAGCGTGGAAGCTTTTACGATTCATTAAATCATTAGAGAAAGAAGACGATTCGTTGTACCGTTCTCGACTCTTAATCCTTGTCTAAATTCAGTCTCCCCCCTCCCCCTCTTGCGCGAAGGGCGGAAGCTTTTACGTTTCATTAAGCCATTAAAGATTCGTATTACCGTTCTCGCCTCTTAATCCTCGTCTAAATTTAGGTTCCCCCCCCCCCCCTTCCCGAAGCGCGAAGCGCGGAAGCTTTTAAATTTCCTTATATCATTAGAGAAAGAAGACGATTCGTTGTACCGTTTTCGAAAATAATCCTCATCTGAATTTAGATTCTCCCTCCTCCCGCGCGAAGCGCGGAAGCTTTTAAGTTTCATTAAATCATTAGAAAAACAAGACGATTCGTTGTACAGTTCTCGACTCTTAATCCTCGTCTGAATTCAGTTTTCCCCCTTCTGCGCGAAGCGTGGAAGCTTTTACGATTCATTAAATCATTAGAGAAAGAAGACGATTCGTTGTACCGTTCTCGACTCTTAATCCTTGTCTTAATTCAGTCTCCCCCCTCCCCCTCTTGCGCGAAGCGCGGAAGCTTTGACGCTTCATTAAACTATTAAAGAAAGAAGACGATTCATTGTTCAGTTCTCGACTCTTAATCCTCGTCTAGATTCAGGTTCCCCCCTCTCGCGCGAAGCGCGGAAGCTTTTAATTTTCATTAAATCATTAGAGAAAGAAGACGATTCGTTGTACCGTTCTCGAAAATAATCCTCATCGGAATTTAGTTCCCCCTCCATCCCGCGCGAAGCGCGGGAGCTTTTACGTTTCATTAAGCCATTTAAGATTCGTATTACCGTTCTCGCCTCTGAATCCTCGTCTGAATTCAGGTTCCCCCCTCCCGCGCGAAGCGCGGAAGCTTTGGCGTTTCATAAGATTATGAGAGAAAGAAGATGATTCGTTGTACCGTTCTCGATTTTTAATCCTTGTCTGAATTCAGTCCCCCCCCCCCTCCCCTCCTGCGCGACGCTGTGACGTTTCATTAAATTATTAGAGAAAGAAGCCGATGCGTTGCACCGTTCTCTATACTGTTAATCTTTGTCTGAATTTCAAAGATGTTCTTTGTCTGCTCCTTTTTCTTCCTACGTCCTCTTCCGATTTGGGGGGACCGCCCCCCCCCCTCCCCCCCTCCCCCCCCCCCCTGGCTACGCGTCTGCGGTCAGATAAACACATTTTGATACCTTGTTTAACCCCGCAAGCGGTCAGATAAGCATTCAGGGGCCCGTCTTAGGGCCCATGGTGGGGTCGAGGCGGCGGAGCCGGCACTGGAAGCTCAGGGGTTTTAGGCGTTTAATTAAGGTCAGATGAGCATTTTTTTTGTATACCTTATTATTTTGTGACACTGGCAGGTCACTATTTGGCGTGGGGTCCAGGGGGCGGAGCCGCCAAAAATCAGGGGTTTGAGGCATTAAATTACCGTCAGATGATCATCTAAGGGCCCGCCGTAGGGCCCTAGGTGGAATCCAGGGGGCAGAGCCCCCGGAGGCTTAGGGGTTTTAGGCATTAATCACGGTCAGATGGGCATATTTTGATGCCTCATTATTTTTTAACACTGGCAGTTAACTATTCTTTCATTCTTGCTCTCATTCTATATTATTTCTCTTTAATATACTTTTTCAAAAAAGTGGGGGTGGGGGGGGGGGGGGAGGGGGGAGCTCGGTGCTCCCGATCCCCGCCGTACCTCGGGCACTGACATGTAGGAATCTCAAGAATCATATTTCTTGCCTGGCTGTAAATTTAGGAATTTGTCATTTTCCAACAAACACATACAAACGTATAATTTACTAAAAAGTGAGGAAAAATCTCGGAAATTATGTCATATCAGCATTATTTGTAATCCACCGTTGTGGAATTAGAAATAAACCACGTTTGAATTTGATTTCCCCCAAGCCCCCCCCCCCCCCCCATCGGTACGCCAGTATCTCCTCTTTTCCTTTTTTATTTCCCTTTCCTTCCTTCTCTCTTATTTTT